TCACGGAGGCAGTCCTGACTGGCGGCAACGATAACGTCGTGGTACCTGTGGTCCTGTGGACATGTGTAAAAGGGTTTGGTATTTAGGTTACCACTGGGGGATAGGGGTAGGATGAATGAATGGTTAAGAGTTCGGCGTCCGGTCATCAAATTCACCAGCATTTACGAGGCCTTCTAAAAGGGGATCAGAAGGCACAGATCGGCGGCCCGGCTTATAGACTAAGATATACCCGCCGGGCTCGGCCGGCGTTTATTAACACGGTAACGTATACATATCGTTGCATAATGAATGAAGAAAAGGGGGCATGAACTAAGACCAATCGATCTAATATTAGCTGGTGATGGATTTAGCCATATTGCGATGTGGCTGGCTAGGAAATATAGATAATGAGATATGTATATTCAAATGATGTTGCCTCTTGACGAAGGTATGCCTTATCTCCCGGCGTATGTTAGGCAGTGTAGAGCACGAGGCGGTACGAGGATGAAAAAACTGCCAGCTAGCGGCTTTAGTTACCTGTATTCTCATCTGCTTAGGGCCATTTTTATGAGCGATCATCTATTAATTCGGAGTCCAAATTGGCTTTATCCTATGTACATATAACACATCCTAAGGATGAGTTGTTATGACGTCCGTGTCATGGTTAATCCCAGCTCAATCGACCCCTGATAAGATATGTACTAGCATGGATGTGCTAGTTACATTATTTTCAAAGTAGTTTCAAGTGTGGCTGTATGGCTGTGTGGCACTTTATACGACTTTGGAACATTGTTATCTTCAAGCGGATACCTACACTGTACGGTTCAGGACCTGGTCCACGTGCAGGACGGGGTAAAATAACCTTAATAATGGAAGAATGCAGAAAGAACCTAAAAGTTTAGTTACGGCACTTGCTTCGTAAAGTAGTGCACACTAACCTAGTTAGTTAATAAGTACCTAACCTACCTACGTACATACTAGGTACGGAATTACGGAATCAATAAGAAGCCTTGACCCTTCGATTTCGGGTTTAGAAACAGTCAGTCCCGTTGCCTTCTTAGTTCTTGGCCTACAGCCTAGGCACAGCATGCTACGAACGTTAGGTACTAAAAGGCAATTACATAATTTACATATAGTACATACTTACAAATCTATCCTGCTCAATCAAGATACACATCAAACATACGTCTTACTCACACATACCTCTTAACATATATCTTACAGAGATCAAGAGACTTCCACCGGAGTCACAAAGCACAATACATCCGCCTTTCCAGAAAACCCGAAGGCCTCTCATTGTCTACCTTCTCTTAGAGACGTAGTCTTACAGTCATAGCATTCCGCCGTCCACCGAGGCGTTTGATCCGCCCCTGGTAAAAGGCGTTAGGCAACCTCAATTCGTGTCGCATTTCCTCCACCCGGCCGCAATCGATAAAGATATTCCTCATTTTTCATACGAAGCCTTTCCACATATTCACGTATTCACATATTCGGGATACATCATTGTTGACTTCATACTGAACCCCACTATATTTATCGTGAAGATTTAAATGATAAGCGCCAGCCAAGTCTCATTCGTAGACTTGGGGTGCAGGACTAAAGTGCGGGACTAAGAGAGGTCGATAACCATGGCATCTAACTCGTCGGGAAAGCCACCCAGGGTCCTTGCTTGTGTGAGTTGTTTGTACCACCAACCGCTTCAAGGTCGCCATCCTCACTTCATATTTACGTAGGTTTTGTGCCAAAATAGAAAGATCAAATGTGACCGCAGAACTCCGTGTTCCAACTGCATCAAGGTGAGTTTTGGACGGGGAAGTCTATCCCCTAAGCTTTTCGGTCCTGACAGATCGTGGGCAGGCCAACGTTTCCTGTACTCCAAGTACCCCGGCACCTGCACGCAAGAGACGGAGGCCCAACCAAGACTTACAGCAGAGGCTCGCCCGGTGCGAGGAGTTGCTATCCGAATATGCCACCGCCAAACCACCAGCTCCCTCGTCCACCGAATCACCAAGCCGAGATGAGTCTTGGAGACCCCTCGGGAAACTGATAGTCGACGATGGTGGGGTTAAGTTTATAGATAGTTTCCTATGGGCTACTATTCATAGCGAAGTGAGTTCGTCCTTCTCCCGCGCCACTGCTCCCTAATATGCTACTCGTTTTCGGTTCAACATGTCTCCTTTTGGATAATTTTGTGTTTAACTCCTTCTCTTGCTTCCACTAGCTCTCGGCCATGCGCGAGATACTCGAGGATGAAGAAACAGTAGACGATCCATGTACTCCAGCCGAGTCGCAAATTTCCGATCTCGATGCAGGACTCATATTATCAGATACTTCTAACACCGATTTAGAAGAGCTACATCCCGAACCAGCTCACGTATTCCGCTTATGGCAGATTTTCATCGAAAGAGTCAACCCAATAACTAAGGTGATCCATGTTCCTACAGTCCAGCCTCTGCTCGTCGAAGCAGCGGCAAGTAGAGCAAAGATACCTAAGAACGCCGAGGCCCTGCTATTTTCCATATATCTAATGGCCACCGTGGCTCTGACCGAAGATGAGTGCTTGGAGCGGTTTGGGTACACTAAAGATGTGGCTTATACTCGCTTTTCCAAGGGTTGTCGTTCAGTTTTAATGCGCATCGGCATTCTAAAAAACTACGACCTAGTTGTCTTACAAGCCTTAGTGCTGTACTTGGTATACACATGTGCTGCCACCTCTCAATCAGACCTCGGCTAACAGCACTTCCACCAGTTCTCCCTGCCAGGTCATTATGACCGCCACGCGGCATGGATTTTAAATGGCGTCACGGTGAGGATCGCGCAAAAAATGGGACTTCATAGAGATGGGGAATTCCTCGGACTATCCCCGTTCGAGACTGAGATGCGGCGACGCATATGGTATCAAATTATTTTGCTTGATGCCATGTACGCACTTATGTCTGGCCTAGGTCATTCCCTTCTCCCACGCTCCTGGGACACAAAGACACCCTTGAACCTCAACGACTCTGATCTTTACCCTACCATGACCACCCTCCAACCCAAGGACAGTCCGACGGACATGATATTCCGCCTCGTATGTTGCGAGCTTGCCGCGACCATGGTTGACACCCCTGAGCTTCACGCGGTCATCATGCAGAATGAGATGGGGGTAGACAATCCCGAACCCGAAAAAGTCGAAAGGGCCATCAAGCGTATCGATGAGTTGGATAGAACTTTGACGGAGATACTCACCAAGTATAGTGATCCCTTAATGGGACCTGTGCACGTCTTAGCGACCGAGACGAAGTCAATAATGGTCGACAAGTTACGAGAGCTCGTTTGCCCACTCAGAAGTCAGCCGGAATGGGGCACCGAAATCTTAACGCCTAAAGATAACCTATTCAAGCTGTCTCTCACGGCAGGGGAGCAGAATTTGCGGATGTACCAGATACCTCATACCGGGGGGTTTTTCCTCTGGTTTGGTAAGTGCTATGGACTACGGTCGTCGATTTCATACTTTGCTAATACCTACAGTAATGTCACATTTTCAAATAGAAGTTTTCATATATATGGTCGGACAGCTGAGCACACGCACATCTGGGCAGCTGGTAGAAAGGGCATGGCGGGTGGTCGAAATGTTCTACCAATACCACACGGAATTATACGATCTCTCGATGAAGGCGCAGATGGCGTCCGCTATCTTTACAATACGAGCTTGGAACGTACGAGAGAGGATACTTCGAGAAACAACGGGATCTGCTCCGGAGACGCCGGGCTATATAGTTAGGCTGCTAAGTCTTCTTCCACCCGACGAGACTAGGCATACGCGCACCGATGAAGCGTCTACCGTGACGAGTCTAAGCGTGAGCCCTGCTGCGCCAACACAACACCCCAGCACAGAGGTTTCTTGGGATCAGATGCTTGGCTTTGTCGATGCCAATTCCATCGATTGGGGCGATATGTTTTCGGTACCGACCGGGGGGCAACCGCAGCCGAATTTCGGAGGTTATGCAACGGTGTTTGGGGGAAACTCGATTAATTGGATGTAGACATCTCATCGGAAGAATTAGAGGATACGGACGTTGCCACTCACGTACTGGTGTTTCATCCTGCTTTCGTGTTTGTTCTAATCATGACGAGGTACTTGCTTTAGCCATAGAAATGGTATAGCAATAAAGAAACGAAAAGGTGCGCCGCTGTTAAACACTTGCGGGGTTGGGTGATATGCGCTGAGCATGTTTGCTCTATTGAGATCGAGTACTAGCGGATGCATCAGTAGGATAGTCGAGGGGTACTGACAAGGACTGGACGAACACCTACTCGGGGGTTGTTCTTGATATCTGACCAGCTGGCTTGATAGGATATAGCATCACAATGCTGTGTAATACTACTCACTATTGTAATAGATGAATACACTCTAAATAATAGTTCCTTACACAGGCGGGTATTTCACGGTGTCCCCCCGTTCTTACTATCTAGGAAGTTTACATATATTCTGTATACCTCTATCGTGTTAATAGACACTTTACATGACCGACCCTAGGAGTTGATATCCACATTAGAGCCTATTAAGGGGCTATTGTCGGGGTTCATTGTTAATAGTAGTTGAGACTGCACCGGACTCGTGACCTTCATCTTCGATGTTACTGGAATTACTATCGATCCCGTAGACCTGCGATGTATTAGATAGTTGGTCCCAATACGTAGGGATCTACCCAGTTAACCAGTCGGTTCTCGTGAAATATGGCACCATACCTAGCACCAACAAGACTTATAACTTATTCGTTCAAGTCTCTTCTAGAAGACCTACGAGATATATTATTATCGGCAACCTATGTGTAGGCCTGAGGACACGTCATATCAACTACTAAATACCAAATCTACAGCCTCTAAAAAGATACCTATCTGGACGTAATACATTTTACAGGTAACAAATAATAGGATATATATAATCCTCAAAGCCTATTGTATTCAAACAATCGCCTTTTCTAACATCATTCAAGACCACAAATAAAGCTTTCTTTCTTCTGGCTTGAGACAACTAACTATAAATAAATAGTCTCGGGCGTAATTTTCTAAGACTGTCTGATCTGCCGAGTCTTCGTTCGTCATATTCTCCAGGTTAGCTACCTAGTTATGACTAACCAACTTGATCTTTTTTCTAACTTAAAGCCAGCTTCGAGTTAACCTGATCGCAGCAGGCCTGCGTACAAGCATCACCATCACCATCACCATCACCATTATTAATGACTCCCCTCCACATCTCTCTAACACTCCCCTATAACATCTTCGCATCCCCTAACCCTCTTTTCCCTAGAACCACGTCCTCTCCCAACCGCTAGTCCATACAGAACCCCCAATGGCTCTAAAAGGCACGCCCCCCCTCCCCAACAACAATGACAGCAACTGGACGCTCATGTACATCTTCCTTGGCTTAGTTCCGGTAACATTCACCATAATAGCCGTATACGCCGTATGGCGGGACAAACGTACCCCTTTTCGAGACATCGAGATGGCAGCCCTGCCCTCGCAACGCGTGTTGCCGTGGCGAGAAGCAATCGCGGCCTCCGAAGGACGCGGGACTGGGACCGGGGAGTCCTCCTCGCGTCCGGAAAACAACCAGGCCCGGATAATGGTCACGAGACCCTTGTCTATTGTGCCCGTTACGCCAAATAAAGTGCGGTTTGGTGGACCGCCGGGCATGAGCATGTGGCAAAAGCCTAACGGCCACCGGGGGAAGGATGTAAGCGCAAAGGCGGATGCGGTTAAGGCGACGCCGACCAAGCAGCCGCATAGGAAAGTTGTACTGAGAAGCATGGGTAGAATTTCTGAAGAGCTCGAGGTGGCTTTCTAGCGTAGATATTACTAGCGATACCGATGCCCTAGAGGTTAGTTATATGTAAATATATTCACTTATTGTTCCTGTAAGTTCCATGTGACGTATGAATATCATTTCCTACTTCTGAAAGTGGCTCGGAAAATAAGAATGCTAAAGCAGTATGGGAGCTCTAAAAGGTATTGTCGTTGAGTATTGCTTCATACTTGCTGCAAATCAGAACTGGCACGTGGATCCAGTTAAGAAAGTTACCCCCCACTTACATATCACTCAACGAGATCAAAGACAATGTTCTAAACCGCATGATTCGCAATAACGACCCTTTGAGTAGGCCATTCGTTGATTTTCATACGCCGCGAAGCGTCTAGTATCGGTCTTACGCCTGATGTGGCCGAAACACTATACTAAGTTCAAGTATCAACCTCGCCAAAAACAAGACGCCTTTTCGTGATATGCCTCATCCACATTCCACGTGTTACTCCTAACGCCTCCATATTCCGCAGTCTAATGAGGTACCGTTTCTCCCCTGGCCTGAATTGCGAAAAACCAGTGTGCATATGAACCGAAGTCCAATTGGGTATCAACAAAAGTATTGAAGAGTATAGACAATTGAAAAGCAAGCAAACGCTAATTCGAATCAGCGGGTAGGCGTTGCTGGTAATTCAGCCCCGATAAGCTTCAAATAACAATAATGGTTGGTCGAATAAAATCCTCGACCTCCTGGGTAATTGATGTCATCATCGTACAACAAGGTCGCATAGCTACGAGGCTCGTACTTCTGACAACGTATGAAGCCTATAGCTTCTACACTGATCTCAGGCAATCAGTGGTTCGAAGGTTGCCAGATGCCCGCGCCGAGAGGTTTGCTGATACCGAAGCCAATACCAACGGCAATGCCCACTATCAGTAGACCAATGAGGATTTTAGCAATGATTCTGTTCCTCTTACTAAGACGAGCTATGCACTGGCAAGATCTGTTGTTGATTTTGGCCGCCTGTGCCTTTTGCTGCCAGTGTTCTTGTCCGGGCCAGACAGGGCAATCTGATTTTCGTCTAGTCCCAATGGTTGATGTCTTGTTCAGGTGTTCAGAGGATTTGACCGGCATCATTGCTTCTATGTCGGTGTCGAATCCATTCGAAGCGGTAGTAGAATTTGGTGTCGATACGTTAGAACCTCGGCGCATCTCCCCACCTCCTTCCAGGCTCCTCTCATTACTAGGTGGGTGGAGTTGTTGGGTAGTAACAGTCAATTGACCAGACTTAGTGGCCTTCTCTATGGTAATTGAAGCCATTTCCCTTAATGATATGGAAAATGAGAACCGAGGTGCACTAGTGGTGTCGAATCGAGAAGATATTAATATGTAGGTGCCGCCGTCCTCAGAACCGAGCTCGCTAGAGGGCAAACCACGGTGTTCCAAAATGAGGAACGCGACGGTGAGAGTATAAGGTCGGGTTGGGGAAATGAGTGCTAGGAGGAACCGTTAGTCAAGCGAATGACTTCGTGGATAACAAGTACTAAGCTCACCAGAAGCCGCTAGAGGGCTAAAAGACAAGGACGCGCTTGACTAGGCCGGGAATCGGGTCTAGATGAACGCAATTGGAAAGAGCAAGCTAGAACTTGCTCTGCTCTTGCGATAGTGATCCAAGGTGGCGCTGGAGACGGGATCAATCGATTGAAATAGGACCAAGGGCGTTCAGTCTTTCAGTTCATTGATACTTCCTTGAGTCGACGATTTAGGTCTTGAGATAAATTGGAATAGAGGATCGACGCAAAAATCGAGGGTTGATAAGGAAGGTGCGAATGGGAGGAAGAGAATGACTGCGATCTATGTATGCATGTAATGGCGTATGCTGGATGTATGTACGAATGTAGTATTGTATGTGTGTATGTCCACTAATAATACTACATGTGTAATGCCCAGCAACTAAAAATGAAACGAATGAATGTCTTGTTGCCGACAAGTCGTACGTGATCATGCAAGGAACGAGTGACCCTAGGCCTTCGAGGGGCAAAAAGAATAAATGGCAAAGGGAGCGAAAAGATGTATGTACGAAAGTAGTGGCTGAGTTAGAGTAAGTGGACGAGTAATGGAGTTTTTGTTCCAGACTTCTGCAGTTTCTAACTTCGCTAACCTTGTTTAGCCCATAGCGCGCATCCATGCGCCTGATAGATGCAGGAGCCAGGGGAGCCATTAGGTCAATCAAAAAGGGGGAGAACAGGGGTGGCTGGCTAGACAGGGTCATATCGCACAGGCCCATGAGGGGCTCGACCACTTAAGAATGCTAAAATCTGGAGTTGGTGGCCCCACAACGCTTGTACCCGCCGCAACAGCTTCCCCTAGGTAATAACCTAATTCGTCAAGTTCAGAAGCTTTTCTTTTCCTACACGTGGGTTTTAACACACATACATTCGTGCATCTTCAAATGCAAGACATTGGCTAAAAGATATACATAATAGCGTTTAACCGCTGAGAACTACTCTTCGACAAGTTTATCTGCTTTATATGTAGGTATAACTAACTGTAGTGTCTCGTAACTATCAAATTTCATCATTCGTACTTGTAAGTTTTCTTTTATACTTTACGTACCGTTAGCGTCTCGCATGAAACAGCACCTAATTCTTCGCGAAGTTTACGCGAGGTTGAGTTTTGAGGGTTTATTAGCTAATCATTACATCGTATGTACATAAAGACACAATATTGGTAACAATTGCGAGCTGTGCTCGTTTATGGTATTGTAATGAACATTAGCGTAATCCTTTTCGTTGGATACTGGTCTGGGCTCATATGCAAAGTTCTCCATAGTTCCAACACGCGTTCCATCTTAGGTTAGCTTGTAAAAGGATAAGAGGTACATACATACATAGATCGAGGTTTCCACGGACCTTTTGATCGGAGCATTGGTGGCAATTTTCTGGGTTAAGTGCTGATTACAGAACGTCTACCACGGTTCACTTACATACACTAGAGATAACACTTCGTGCGTATTCAACATATTCCTTGCATGTATGTACATACGTGCGTTTGCTGTAGCGTAGGTAAATACATACACCATCTTCAGGATGAAACCCAATGGTCCTAATAAACCCAATGATCTTTCCTGGAGGATTCTTTTCCTGGCTTCAGATCTCAGTATAAACCCGACAAGCACATGGCACGTTGCATAATAAATTACGGGGATTTCCGACTTTTCGGCCAGGACAAGCGGCAGGCAACGCTGAAAATCCTCAAACTGGATATAGAAGCCGAACAGGAACGGGTACGCGTACGGGATCTTTTTACCTGCATGTATCCTCTTGGCGGGGCACAGCAGCAGATAACCTGGAAATTATTACGAAACGAACGCGATGAACGAATTGAGAAGACAGGGGTTTAGTTACATAGATAAGAATTGATAGCTCAAAATGAAATAATGATCGCTTCCATATTCAGATCCAATACCCGTTTGTTACCCTGTTTATTATCAGCTAAAAGCTTACATTAATTATTACCAATGTTAAACTTGTCAAGATACGTGCCGCTTCTAGCCAATATATCTATAACCTTGAAGTACTATGCTGCTATGTAAAAGTTGTTAAGCATAAATACATATATATTTATTTCCCCACTAGCTAATACATAGTAAATGACAACATCATCGCCCCTGTTAATCATATCCATTTATGATTTAGGTATTAAGAGCTTACCTTGGTAATTATGTATTGACTACGCGTGATGTATGATGGTACGTGCAATATAGCTAGGTAGATCGTCATATTGACATGCTTGATGAGACTTTTGCGGCGGTCATTTCTCGTGGCTTGACGTGGTGCTACTACATAGAACGACATCCGATCGATCTGCGAACGTTGACAGATCTACTTACGATCAACTTACTTTTGATCAGCTGACCTTGACTCGTCGCGCTTCCCGACCTATCTTATATCTTACGCGTCCGTTAGTCTTTTCGAACATTTGCTTTCACCAGTTCACAAGCTCTTGTCATGTTCAACGTACAACATGTCCGACCCGATTTTCTGACGGGTAATTATTACACTCGATCGTCTCAGTTCAACATAGGTTTACGGACTAGCGAAATAAATGGCAGTCATCATACAATTGTGTAGGTATCTGCATGGTGTATGATTATAACTAGTGCATCTAATGAGGCTCTGCTGGCACTCGTATATGATATTCTGATTTATATACGTTGTTAGAATCGAGCCTGCATAATCTCACTGCCGAATCATCAGCGTACACGGGGAACGAGCCGAATCTTGCTACAGCAAAAGAGGAGATGATCGGAATGGCTGCATGTTGCTGTCCCTTCTAGACATGTTACTATATACTTGGATCTATATTTTCATGGTGTAGACACATGCACCTATGTTGGGATGCAAGATTCTCCGCATGCGTGTAGTTTGCTGCAGTGTTTCGATTAAAACGGCATTTAAGGCAACGTGAGGGAGTTTTGCAGAGAGTACGAATGTACAAATGTACGTCCAGACGGAGCGTTCCTGCCTCGACCAGTTGCTTCTGTGTAGCATATGTATGCTTCAGTTACCTAATTCCAAAGTATCTACCTGCCTAGAATGCAGTTGCCTCTTTACACATGCCGTCAGGTGTTCGTATTTTTGTCTCGTCTGATTGCAGGCAACTTCGAATTTTTTTGACCATCCCAAAACTACACCGGTCAGCGCATACCTCTTATTCCTACTAGAATTTCAAGACTAGACTCTACTCTAACACCCTCCTCTCCTCCATACAATTCCAACTCCAAAGAGGATCTGATATCCAGTCTATTCACCATGAGATTCACTGCTATATTTGCCATTCTCGCCTTTGGCAGCTGCTTAGGCATGACGGCAGTACTCAACTCGTCTAAGATTGCACTTGGCATTGAATCTGCCATGGCGCACTCTGGTCTCGACAAACGAGATGCCTTCACTTGTTACGGCGTAAGTCATATGATCCTCTCCTATTCACTGCATCTCATACGGCCAAGCTGACACGGTATATCATAGTCTACCAACACCTCGGTCTCGGACTGCCAGAAGATCATTGACAGTATTCGAATCGACGAGCAGCAGGAATTCGCACTCTACT